TCCTATAGGCATGTTATCTAAGTGTAGAGTTAACACATGCAGGACTTTATTAAATATATCCTATAGGCATGTTATCTAAGTGTAGAGTTAAAACATGCAGAATTTAAAACAGCAGACCCTATAGGCATGTTATCTAAATGTGGAAGTAAACATGCAGAATATTATTAATCAGATCCTATAGGCAGGATATCTACCCTTAAAACATGCACAATTACCCCATCCATTTTTACTAACCAACCCCAATATTCGTTTACAAATTATTACAGACCAAATACGGAATTACATCAAAAAAATATAAAAAAAAATAAGAAGTTACAACCATAGGAAGCCTGATTCTGACTTCCTCTCTGAATTATGGAACAAACCACCTCAAATGCCACTTATTTCAAAAACTTTCTCAGAGCTAGGTGTGTCAAAGTTCCCTAAGGGTCTCAAGGGACCCCGGGCAGTGCTTACACCCAGGTTTGCATAACCAGATAGAGGGGAGTGCAGTGTGGAAGGGCCAGCTCTTATGTGTCCAAGTTTAGAGGGAGCTCAAGGGTCCCTGTCGCGCCCCCTTTTTCCTCCGCGGAAATCGGGTTTGTGACATTCGATTGGGACAACTCTTTCCTTTTGGGAAAGGGGTTTGCAATTTTGAAGAGTCATCACCTAACTATTTTAAGGTGCGTTAGGGCACCTATGGGGTTCAATTATAACTACCTTTTTTATAACCAGAGATAGGGTAAGGGCTTGAAATTATCCCATGAGGAAGGTGTTAGGCACCCCTCAGGATCCACTAGTGTGGTTCCCAGCCAGATAGTTCTTTGTGAATTTGTGCAACTAACACGTAAAGAAACAAGGCTCAAATAGGAGGGGATTGAAATACACAAGCGTTTGGAAATGATAAAATAAAGCAAAGTTTTGAAAGAGTTATAACTAAAATAAAGGGGATCATAGGTTTATTTGTAATATGGATCACATCAATGCAATACCTGGTAATCACTCCTCAAAAGAGGGGCTACGCGTGGTATTAGCGCACCGGTCATCATATCTATATCTACCCTTCCCACCCCGTTAAGGTATTAAAGCGCGGATTGGTCTCGGCCTCTATTGCATGTTGTTACCCGTCCCATTCCTATCTGTCCCGGAGGAGTTTAGGACTACTATTCCTATAAGAGGGAGGTTCTAAGCTGACTCTTAGGTTTAAAGGTAAAATGCTAAGGCGACATACAAAAACAAGTAGGACTGCACTTAGAAGGGAAACATACAAGCAGTTAAAAGGCTCATGTATACCTCCGCAAATAATGCATATATAAACAGCATGACTCATACACAATTAAGGTCTAAATTCAAAGTACTAAGACAGGGGAGTTTTAGTTGTTGAAGCAGACCAATTTATTACATAACTCAGATAAGAAGTTCGAATCAGGCCTGCCTGCTGGTTGTAGAGTTGCTAATTAAACAAACGCGGATTCAATTCTATTATTATTACCTAAGGCTTGCCTAAGTGTGTATTGATGATACCCTATAAGCATGATATCTATTACTGATTCAAAAATGGCAAAGCAGTAACAGTTTTAAACGAGCAAATTGGATCCTATAGGCATGCTTTCTAGACCGCATTAATAAAAGGAGTAACTAATTTAACACAGTAAGAGGCAAACAGATTTTTAACTAAACTGGTTTCGGATCTTTATGGACATAATCTCTATTATTGCTGATTTTAATCCCTACAGACATGGTATCTAATATTAAAGGCTGATTTGGTCCTATAGGCATGGTATCTAATGAAGTGGAGTAGGCAGCATTTATTTGATCAAAGCGAGATTCCTATAGACGTAATTTCTATAAAATATTGATATTAACTTTATAGGCATGACATCTAATTTCGAAGCTGATTCTTAACCTTGCAGATGTTGATATCTGATTATGGCCATTATATCCTATAGGCAGGATATCTAATTGTGGAGTGAAACAATGCAGAAACTTATTAGATAGATCCTATATACATGTAATCTAAGTGTATAGTTAACACATGCAGGACTTTATCAAATAGATCATATAGGCATGTTATCTAAGTGTAGAGTTAAAACATGCAGAATTTAAAACAGCAGACCCTATAGGCAGGATATCTACCCTTAAAACATGCACAATTACCCATCCCTTTTCACTAGCCAACCCCAATATTCATTACAAATTATTACAGACCAAATACTGAATTACATCAGAAAAATGAATAGAATAAGAAGCTACAACCATAGGAAGCCTGATTCTGACTTCCTCTCTGAGTTATGGAACAAACCACCTCAAATGCCACTTGTTTAAAACCTTTCTCAGACCTGGGTGTGTCAAAGTTCCCTAAGGGTCTCAAGGGACCCCGGGCAGTGCTTACACCCAGGTTTGCATAACCAGACAGAGATGAGTGCAGTGGAAGGGTCAGCCCTTATGTGTCCAAGTTCAGAGGTAGCTCAAGGGTCCCAAGGCAAAGCTCACACAAGAGGGGCAGAACATTGGTTCTAGGAATATAGTGAAAGTGCAGAACATAGAGATTTTAAAACTGGGCTGGGAAATAGTAAGTGATAAGGATGATTTGAAAACAGTGGTAGTAAAATCAATAGCTACACAAAGGGGTTAGGGGTTTTGGGGAATACATTGCATGAAGCACATGACCCTAGGAGGGGTCAGGTTTAGACATGCACAGCAATAGGGGATGCTGGCATGTTCATAAACCATCCAGAGAGTACAAAATAAAGAGGGGATGTGGGGTTTGGGATTCATACACGTAGGAGAGCATTAACTCGAAAAAGGGGAAGGTAACACATTTCAACATGCTAGTAATGTAACTTTATTGCGGAAACATAAGCAGAAGTGAACAAGCGTGAAAGAAGTTGGAACACTTACAGAAACATGTTGTTGTTGATGCTTGAAAATTAACTAGGACATACCAGTAAGAAGAAAAGTGCAGAAAAGTAAGCAAATGACCACAGCCTAGCCTTGGCTTTCAGCCGGCTAGACAAAGCATTAGCACAAATTGTAACAGAGAAAAGAGAGAGTTTTTAGTGAAGTGTGTGTTCTGAACTTAGATAGTTCGTGTTTTTTTTTTTTGAAAGAAGAGGGGTGCAGGGTATTTATAGTTTTTTGAAAACGAGTGAAGGAGAGGTAATAAGTAAAGTCTTGATACAAACATGGAAACAATCACAAGTCAGAATCAATTACCCAAGTGATTCCCCTTTAATTAAGGAATCACTGTCTAACGATTAGCAGCAGGTCTAATTAATGAAAGAAAATCAGTTTGGAAGCAGACTGATTATTGCCATATAAGGGATAGTAAAAGCATGCAGTGAACAGTCGAGTCTAAGTACAAAAATATGTTTATTTTGGGAAAGAAATCAGCAAGGTAACACATCACTATAAAGGGAAAAGAATCAATTAAGTTTAAACAGGCGAGTGAAATTAGGGTTCATAAAAGGAAAAGTTTTTTAAATCAGTCACAAGATTAAGATCAATCAAGGAAGAATATGCTTCTGTACTTCAGTATATAAACAGAGTGAACAGAAACATCAGACATGCGAGGCCAAGCACATTGGCAAAAGAAACAGCATACAATAGTAGCATAAATAAGCATAGGATTCAGTACTGAACAAGGTTAGATAGTCAGGGCTCACACGTATAGCCAAAGTGAAGAAGAGAGTCAAAACAAGTACAGGTCTTGCAGTAACAAGTGAGGAAACCTTTCGAGAAGTCAGGGTTTCAACCATAGTCGAGTTGAAAGATAGTAAAAATCAGATAAGTCACATAAAGAAAAGAGAGTCTAAAACAAGAACTTTCAATCGAGTCAAGTATACATTCAAACAAATAGTTTCAGACCCAAAGACCTAGGGTTTTCAACAATAATCGAGTTTAAAAGATGGTAAAACAAATAAGTCAAACAAAGCACTTAATCAAACAAGTACACATCTAACGAATAGCTTCATAACTCGAATGAGACCCAAAAAGGAATTAGGGTTTTCAACACGCTGACTCAGATAGAAGAACAACATGAGCAAAGCATAGCAGAATCACAAACAACATTAAAAATTGGAGAAGAGATCTTTTGAAAAACTTAAAGGAAAACCTTAACGAAAAGTTGTTTTGAAAGAAAAGTTGAAGACTTTCGAGAAAAACACCTGACATTCACAGCAAGTACAGATCTAAAGTAGATCTGAAAGAAAATCAAAGGATCTTAAAGATTAGGGTTTCGAAAACCCAGAAAAAGTGAGAAAGGCCTTGAAAGTTACCGATCTAACCAGGAGAGTCAAGGATCTGACTCGAACGGCCATTGCTGGCCGGAGGAAGGTTAGGGATGACCGGAGAAAAGCCATGAACAGCAGTCGAGCAAGGACTGGACCAGATTCCTTCGAGGACTAGCCATGAAACCACAGAAACAAACACCCAAGAGTCATGGGAGGCCACCACACACACTACTGAAAAATTGATCTACGGTAACGCATGAAAAATCGTTCCCATAGACAGTAAAACCATTCCCATAGATATATTGGAACGGTTTACAGCCCGTTACATTAACCCGCGTGCCCATAGGTCTATAGGAACGGTTTGCATCGCTGTGACTATAGATACATCTATCGTAACGGTTTTTCCTTTCTCTGTTGGAACGATTATTTTGTTCAATTGGAACGGCTTAAAACCGTTACTATATTGTTTATACAACGGTTCTTAACCGTTACCATATTATTTAATACAACACTTATGTAAGTTAATGTTACGGTTATGTATGGATATAGCAACGGTTTCCTTAAGCTATCGTAACGGTTACATTCATATTTGGAACGGTTTATAGATTATTTTGAAACAGTTTATAGGACCTATTGCAACGGTTTACATTGTATAATGGAACGTCATTTGTGTCCTATTGCAACGGTTCTGGTAGGCTATTGTATCAGTTCAGTTAAAACCAAAATATAGCACCTGTTATAAATAAATATTTATATATATAATAATTTATAATAACACTAAAATTTAAATACATCATAAAATGAAACTATACAATAATATAAAATTATCCATCAAGCAAATGTTCTACCCAAAGTGCATAAGTTTAGTACATTTCAAAAGAGTAAGTTTCAAATATATTGATAACAAAAGATTCCTAGAACATTCATCTATGACAATTCAAAATTCATCTCAAGTAAGATCTAGTTCTTCACTGCCTTCATCATTCTTTTCTTGATCTACTCCACCTACAAAAGAGGATAAATAAAGTCATTACCCTTCAAGAGAATCCGGTATAAGAATACTCATAGCACAAATTGCCATGAAAAAAGAAAAGAACATGAAAAGGTAACATAAAAAATTCAGAATGCTTGGAGAAAGTATAAGAATCAACCTACTATATGATTTGTTATCACATGACCAACCCATAAGAGAAACCAAATGTTAAAACTACACGTGAATAGCATCTGAGAATTCCAAAGTCTTTTTGATTAAAACCAACCCACTGCCAGCAGTGAAGCCTCACCAAGTAATGGGATTGTTCCCAAAATCACATTCAGATATGAATTTGGATTTAGCTTGGTGTTCTTGCTATTGTCTTTCTTTATGTTTACAAATTGAGGAAGAAAAAAGCAAGTGAAGCAAATATAGAAATCTCAATACAAAAAGACCAAAAATACAACAAAACTGCAGAACCAACAACAGTAGTTGTAAAACAAAAAGAAACTACAACAAGAAGTTCAAGTCATCCAAGTTGGCCATGTTTGACCATAAAAAATGGTGAAGAAACATCAGCAACTGGTTCAGATACTGATGAAAACAAGAACAATGAAATTGAAGATCAAGTTGAGTATGAAATGGATGAGAAGAAAAAGAAAGAAAAGTCTTCTGTAATGGTAGATGGTGAAACTGAACTAGAGCTAGAGACTTTGTTAAAGGCTTCAGCTTATATTCTGGGTAATTAAGTGAAGTCTTTTTGATTAAATCCAATGTTTGTGAAGATAACAAACAATATCAGTTGTGATCATTCTCATAAAGTCTATTCGAAACCACGTCAGTAAAAGAGAAGCTTCTGGATATACTGGCCCTAAGAGAAAAAAGATACCATATACAGAACCTTCTATGTAGCAGATGGTTGCAGCAACGGGAACTGGGAAGAGGGTTGGACAATACAAATAAGCAGCAACTTCAATACAATTTCCCGGTCAGAGGGAAATAACCTTCCTTAGTTATATAACTGTACTTTTAGTTTATCATTACTTAGACTTGCCATGAGTTCAAAATTACCAGTCCTAGTATCACTGTTGACCATAAAAGCACTTTAAACCACATTGATATATCATAATGAAAACAAAAATAATCATGTTAGCTGGAATCCCAGGCAGGCCATACATTTTAACAACCACGTTAGCTGGAATTTCTCCTCCTTTACTAAAGGAAACCACTGAAATATCTAAGACTCACATACAGAGTTGGGTAAGAAGGAAACCATGGAAAATCCTTTGGGAAGACTCCATAGACCGAAAAGACGTAGCCAAAAAAAGTAGGAGATAACTAAGTCGGGCAACAATTTCCAACAAATGACCAAGAATCTAAAGAAGACAGTATATAGCATAAAAATCAACCAACACATAAAAGGAAGCTATTATAAAAGAAGTTGGATATCAATAATACCAAAATAGGCACATCTATAGGAAGAAAAAAGGATATTACCATATCCACTATGCCTTGAACCAAAGTAAAATCTCAAGCAAGGAAGGAGGAGGAGAAGAAGAAATAGAAGAAGATGTATAACATTTGGTACGTACTGACCTTAATTGTTACTACCAGCATATGGTCGACTGTTTAGTTGAACAGCAGCTTGTTCTGCAGAGGAAGCTTTTACAGGTGGACGTGCACTGAACCTTAATATGTCAGGATCAAGCCGAAAATTTGGGTTCAGACGCTGAAGTCGTGCAACGACGTTCATTATAATATTTTATTCCATAGCATCCTTTTGTTCGGTGAACTTTTTCTGCGTTCTTTGTTGCATCGTCTCTTCCATTTCCTCCATTTTCTGTTGTATCCTCTCATCAGTAGCATCTAAAGAAGATCCAAGATTTCCTTTTTGCTCTTTTAATACAGTCTTGGTAGCATGTTAGTTCTCTATTCACCTAGTTAGCATATCATATTAATTTGTTGTGAAAAGTTAATTGCTGATAGTGTAAAAGACAATATATATATATATATATATATATATATATATATATATATATATATATATATATATAATAAAGCTTAAATGGTCTTCTGGTACTTAACAACTGTTCCATTTTTTGCACCAGGACATGCCTTCTATCCATTTTAATTAGTGCATTAATTATAAGCTAGTAGTAGTCAGAGTAAAAGATAGAGCCCTTTGGCTCCATTTCTAGAGGTTTGATCAGTGAAGTAAGAGAAAATGAGTGATGTTGGTTCAGTTTGCTTTCGATGGAAACAGAAAAGAGGGGCACAATCAAAATCACCTAGAAAGTAAACATTATCAAATACTGAACTAGATAAGAGTATGAAACAGGGTCTCCTCCATAGGATTGGAAATGCGGAAATGAGATCATGTTATGTTACATCAGAAAGACATAGACATACAAATGCCTATACATGCTTAAGGAACACACTTATTATACCATCTCCATTAGAATCTACCAATAGAGAAAAGTAGTAATAGTATATAGCAGAAGACTAATCTTGACTAATCTTCTCTGCATAAGAAATGACCTAATGGTCACAAGGTCTCACTTATTCTTGACTAATCTTCTCTGCATAAGAAATGGCCTAATGGTCACAAGGTCTCACTTAAAGAGACTAGATATTGTAGAGTTGTTCACATATCACTTATCATTGACAACTTATGGCATCAATAAGAAAGGCAACTTCAGAATTCGAAATCAAATAATGCCCATATTACATTTATGATGTAACATCATATAATCTCATTCTGATGGTGACAAAAGCAGTTAGATGAAGAATCTTGAAAGTTGCAGAAATCTTTATTATGATTAAAAATGTTCAAATTAAATACTTGTACCAATTTTTATTAGGACAAATCACAGTATCTTTATAACCCATATTTTGTCAACTTTCAAGAAAGCTAAACTCCATATAGATAACACAACCCCTCTTTACTAGTAATTAACATAACTTCAAAATTCCACATTTGAGTTGCATGCTTTCTCATTTTGCTGCAATTAATTTATGCAGGTAACAAATTCATAAATAATTTATCCAAAACTCAATAGTTTATTTTTTTTAGTCTCACTTTACGTAATGAGTGTTGATAGAAGAAGCAAATCACAGGTAAAAAAAGTAACAATCTTTTACAGAACAGGAAGCAAAGCAAGACCTCAAATTAATTAAATTGAGACAAAAGAAGTGATCTTTCGACAAATATAGAGCTCAACTTCATTTTCTATGAAACCCTAGAAATGGAAAACAGAAGGCCCAGCGGCGGGCAGGCAGTGTGGAAGGCATGACTAAGATCTGAAAGAAAATAAACAAAAATGGTAGAATACAGTTGGAATCGTAATGGAAAATGTAGCTTACCGGTGCCGCCGATGGTGGTTTGTCCTCCTCGTTATCTCCGGCGAACTGATCGATGAAGGCATTTTGGAAGAGAGAATATAGAAGCTTTTTGTGATGAGTGGCGTTTGAGTATATCAGAGATGTAGTGTGCGTACTATTATTAGGTTTTATTATTTTATTAAATATAAAATAATGCGGGATCTCTTTTAGCGGCCGTCCAAAATTTGGGGAAATTATAGAGGGAACTCATAACCATTGCCTTACATTAAAATTGCAAATAATCGTTACCATAGACAGACTTATTGCCACGGTCGTCCAAAAATGTTGCCATAGAAAATCTACTGTAACGGTTTTTGGACTAATGCAACGGTTTAGGTGCTAAATTGTGTCGATAGTACCAATTACCTTACGCAACGGTTCAGACCGTTGCAATAGGCCATCTATAGCAACGGTTACAGATCCGTGGCAATAAAAAGCGTTGCCATAGCTCCAATTTCTAGTAGTGACATCTCCAATGGCCCATGGGGAGGCCATGGATTAGGCAGGGTTTAGGGTGGATTAGGGTGTAGTTTGATGGCAGCGGCAAAGGTTCGTGTTAGGTTTCAGAGAGAGTTGAGAGAGAAGAGGGATTCAAAGGCGGCGGTTGGTGAGAAATAAGTAGGGTAAGGGGTCGTTTGGGATTAAAAAGGAAAGGGCGTATAGGAGCCGTTGATCTAAATGATCAACGGCTAGGATTAAAGGGGTTAGGTGGGGAGTCCGGGTTGGGTCGTTTAAATGGGTTAGGGGTCGGGTTTAAACGAAATTGGGTCGGGGGAAAATTGGGTTTGATTTGGGGTTCAATTTAGGCTACAATTGAAATGAAATTGGGCTATCATTTGAATAGCCATTTTTCCCCTTTTAAAATTATAAAAAATAGTAAATTAATTTCTGGAACCAAATTAAAAGCACTAAAATGACTTATAGCATATAATTATTAAATTAAAAATAATGGACTTAATTATAAGAATATAAATAAATCTAAAAGGGGCTAATATTGCAATTTAGCTTAAAATTACTAAATAAAATTTGTAAAAATATGCAAAAATTACCTTAGCTATATCTTAGCATAAATATAAAGGTCCAACAGATGAATTACCAAAAATGATAATTTTGGAAATAATCATTGGGTTTTTTATGGATAAAAGATGAAAATAAATTGATTTGAAACCTTAAAAATTATGGAAAAATAATAAAACATTTGAATATGCTTACATATGCATATATATGCCCTTTTGAAGTTATTTTGCATATTAAAAATATATATGGAAAAATTGGGTATCAACAGTCCCAAGGCAAGGCTCACACAAGAGGGGCAGAACATAGATTCTAGGAATATAGTGAAAGTGCAGAACATAGAAATTTTAAAACTGGGCTGGGAAATAGTAAGTGATAAGGATGATTTGAAAACAGTAGTAGTAAAATTTAAACTACACAGAGTCAGCATTTGCACAAAGGGGTCAGGGGTTTTGGGAATACATTGCATGAAGCATATGACCCTAGAAGGGGTCAGGTTTAGACATGCACAGCAATAGAGGATGCTGGCATGTTGACAAACCAGCCAGAGAATACAAACACAAAGAGGGGATGTGGGGTTTGGGATTCATACACATAGGAGAGCATTAACTCGAAAAAGGGGAAGGGAACACATTTCAACATGCTAGTGATGTAACTTGATTGCAGAAACATAAGCAGAAGTGGACAAGCATGAAAGAAGTTGAAACAATTACAGAAACATGTTGTTGTTGATGCTTGAAAATTAACTAGGACATACCAGTAAGAAGCAAAGTGCAGAAAGAAAAGTAAGTAAATGTCCAAAGCCTAGCCTTGGCTTTCAGCCGGCTAGACAAAGCAGTAGCACAAATAGTAACAGAGAAAAGAGAGAGTTTTTAGTGAAGTGTGTGTTCTGAACTTAGATCGTTCGTGTCTGTTAAAGAAAAGAAGGGTGGGTACTTATATTTTTGAAAACATGTGGTAAGTAAGGTAATAAGTAAAGTCTTAACACAAACATGGAAACAATCACAAATTAGAATCAATTAGCACAAATGATTCCCTTTAATTAAGGAATCACTTTTTAACGGCAGTAGCAGGCTTCAATTCAGGAAGAAAAATTAGTTTGAAGACAGATTGATCATTGCCATATAAAGGACAGTAAAAGCATGAGGTGAACCATCAAGTCTAAGTACAAAAATATGCTTATTTTTGGAAAATATTCAGTAAGGTAGAATATCACAGCAAAGGAAAAGAATCAATTAATTTCGAACAAGCGAGTGAAATTAGGGTTCATAAAAGAAAAGCTTTGTAATCAGTCACAAGACCAAGACCAATTAAGGAAGAGGCTTCAGCATATAAATAGAGTGAACAGGAACATCAAACATGCGAGGCCAAACACATTGGCAAAAGAGATAATCACAAACATGCAGTAGTGGCAGAAATAAGCTAGGATTGAGTAGTAAAGCAAACATTCGAGGCATAGTAGTCAAGTAGGTCAAGTCACATAGAATCAACAGAGAAGAAAACATAGCATCAGATAAAAGAAATCAGAGGCATGTAAAGGTCTCACAGTAGCAGGTGAGGAAGCCTTTGAGAAGTTAGGGTTTCATCAAAAGTCGAGTTAAAAAGGTAGTGAAACTCATAATCAGATAAGTCACATAAAGAAAAGAGGGCCTGAAACAAGGAACCTTTAATTGGGTCCAGTATACTTTCAAACAAACAATCTCAGACCAAAAGACCTAGGGTTTTTCACAATAATCAACTTTAAAAGATGGTAAAACTCAGAATCAAACAAGTCAAACAAGAATGAAGAACTTAATCAAGCAAGTACACATTTAAACAAACAATTTCTAGAACTCGGATAAGACTAAAAGAACTAGGGTTTTTAATATGCTAAAATAGATAGAAGAACAACAAGAGCAAATAGCAAAATCATCAACAACAATAAGATCAGAGGAGAAAACTTAAAGGAAAAACCCTAATCGTTGAAAGTGAAGAGTCATTTTGAAAGAAAAGTCAAAGAACCTTCGAGAAAACACTTAAAAGTTCATAGTAAGCACAAATCTAAGATAGATCTGAAAGAAATCGAAAAGTCTTAGAGATTAGGGTTTCAGAAAACCCAAGAGAAATGAGAAAGATCTCGAAAGATACCGATCTAACCAGGAGAGTCAAGGACCTGCCTTGAAAGGCCATGGATGGCCGGAGAAAGGTCGTGGATGGGCGGAGAAAGGCCATGAACGACGGTCGAGTAAGGACTGGACCAGACTCCTTCGAGGTCTGGTCATGAAACCATAGAACCAAACACCCAGGAGTCAAAGAAGGCTGGTATAGATCTTAAATGACCCCGGAAGGCCATGGATTTGGTAGGTATTATGGTGGATTAGGGTGGCGGCAGCTAGGGTTTTCGTGGGTTTCAAAGAGAGTTGAGAGAGAAGGGGAATCAAGGGCGGCGGTAGGTGGGAAATGAATTAGGTTTAGGGGTCTTTTGGGTTTAATTATGGAAGGGCAAATGGTGATGATCAACGGCCTGGCAAAGAGGGTAAGTAGGGGTTTGGGTTTGGGTCGGTTCAATTGGAGATTGGGTCGGGGTATAATTGGGATAGGGCCAGGGAAATTGGGTTTAATTGGGGTAGGATTTAGGCTATAATTGAAATGCAATTGGGCTAAATTTAAATAGTCATTTTTCCCTATTTAATTTATAACAAGTGATAAATTAATTTTTGAAAATAAATTAAAAGTACTAAAATGATTTATAACGTATAATTAATAATTTTAAAAATTCAGGACTAAATTTTAAGAATATGAAACACAATTAAATCTAAAAAGGGCTAATATTGTAATTATATGCAATTTAGCTTAAAATTACTAAATAAAATTATAAAATATGGAAAGATTACCTTAGCTATATTTTAGCATAAAGATGAAAATCCAATAGATGATTTTCCAAAAAGTAATAATTTTGGAAATGATTATGGTTTTTATGGATAAAAGGTGGAAATAAATTGATTGAAAAGACCTTTAAAATTATGGAAAAAATAATGAAACACTTGAATATGCTTACATATGCATATATATGCCATTTTGAAGTTATTTTGCATATTGAAAATATATAGAGAAAAATTGGGTGTCAACATCTGCGTATCCAGCCAGCATCTGCGCCCTTCTGCCCGCGTCTGCGACCATCACAGGTGCGGGAAAGTCTACGCACCTACGACCTCTGCTCAACTCTTCCTTGGTCGCTTCTGCGATTCATGCCCCGCTTCTGTGGGCTCGCACCTGCGGTGCCCACTCCGCAGGTGCGGTTACACCAGTAGCAGCAACATTTCAGTTGCTTCACCAACTCAAAACCAAGTTTGTTAACCATCCGGACACAACCCGAGGCCCCCAGGACCTCAACCAAACATACCAACAAGTCTTATAACCCAATACAAACTTAGTCGAATCCTCAAATCACCTCAAACAACATCAAAAACACGAATTACACACGGATTCAAGCCTAATGAACTTCAAAATTTCCAAATTCAACAAACGACGTTAAAACCTATCAAATCACATCCGATTGACCTCAAATTTTGCACACAAGTCAAAAATGACACCATTAACCTATTCCAACTTCCGAAAATCCAATCGAAACCCGATATAAAAAAGTCCATTCCCGGTCAAACTTTCCAAAATTCCAACTTTTCGGCATTTCAAGCCTAATTCTACTACGGACCTCCAACTCACAATCCAGACACACTCCTAAGTCCAAAATTACCTAACAGAGCTAACAGTACCATCAAAATTCAAATCCGAGGTCGTTTAAATATAATTCAACATCCAGTCAACTTTTCAAACTTAAGCTTTCAATTAAGAGACTACGTGTCTCAATTCATTTTGAATTCACCCCGGGCCCGAACCAAATAACCCGATAAGTTATAATACAACTGTAGAAGAAACTACTGATCATATCTTCTTTCTTTTCCCCAAAGCCACATCCTTCTGGAATAGTATCTGTACTTATGCTAATGATCAGTCCATGCACCTACAGTTCACTCCTGGAACATGGAATACTACTTGGAATAAGCTAAAAGCCAAAAACTTTAATGATCTTCTAGAATGGCACTTCCTTCATCCCTTCTGCT